CAGCCCTGAACCCAGCGCGGGGGACGCGTCCCCTGCCCGAGGCATCAGGCCAGCCGCCCGCCTCTGAACAGCAGGACTGCTCTGCAGACAGTGTGAGGGTCCCTCAGCAGGGGAAACACAGAAACAGTGAAGGGGAAAGGTCGCCTTCAGCCAGGTGCTTTTCTTCAAGGGGGGAAAAGCAAATCAAAGTCTGGTCCCCTCGTCTGTCCTCTGTCCGTCTCCAGGCTCCCCTGTGAGGACAAGCAGACAGGAGCCGAGCAGGAGCAACAAGAGAAAGCTGTTTCTGGCTCATGGCCCTTGTGCCTCTCCATCGTCACCAGCAGTCCCTGATTCACCTCAAACACAAACCCCAGGAGCTGCGTCAGCCATCTCCCTTCTTGCTCGAAGAACATCGGGAAGAGCAGAATCGAGCAACAGGCAAGTCGCAAGGTCTAAAAGGGGTCACGAGCACTTTCCAGCAGGCACTGGAGAGGAGGTGGCTGCGTGCACGTTGCGGGGATTTACTTGGCGCGTGGTGAAGGCCGCCATCCCTGTTCCTGCTTGCCAACATGGGTTGGCGCTGAGCACTCTTGGACAAAACTCTCCTGCAGCCACCCCCAGCTACATGACCAGGTGCTGCTAGAGGCTGGTCCAGCCCTTTAAAATGCCAGCAATAGCCGAAGATTGCTCTTGGAGAACCGTTACACCTCAACCAGAATCAAACAGTATTGGTCCCTTGGCCAAGAAGAAGGAAAACAAGTCCCATGGCCCAGGCTAAAGCCACCCACAGGTGCTGCAGGAGGGGAAACAGAGCCGCCAATCGACACCAACCCAACAGCCTGAGCTGCCTCGTAGGTTTCTATCGGATCAGACATGTACGAACAGAAAAATGTTCAAGGTCAAGATAAAACTCATCTGAATCTGGAGCCTTTTCAGCTTAGACAGCTTGTCAGCCACTGTGACAGACGTGTGACAGATCCTAGAGGACACCCTGCCTTCCCCATCGCCGAGTGAGCAGACCAAGCCGCAGCGCAGACCTTCAACTCATGCCTCTACAAGAGCGGCCAGCACGTCCCCTTTATCAGATGCCGGGATCAGGTCCGCTCCGTGCCAGTGCTGCTGAAACATGTCCTCTGCTCCAGAGAAAGTCAGGCACAAATTTAGGTTTAAAAACCTGTCCTTCAGAAACCTGTCCCACACATCAGAGCCTGGCTAAGGGCGCCTGTGGCCCAGGGAAGGGTAGTAACAGCAGGAAAGGGACAATTTAGGATAACACTGGGACCACCCCTCTTCCCTTGACAAGATCAAGCCACTCCCTTCTGTTACTCCCAGGAGGAAAAACTTGCTCCAACTCAGCAGAAAAAATGTGCGCCTTTCGTGCAGGCAGCCTTCATCCCAGCACTCCTTGCCCTCCCTGCAGGGAGCCAAGGTTACCCAGAGAAACTGCACCGCTCCATCCCCATGCCGCTTCTCTGCGCAGGCACCGTTATTTGTTAGCTATCGTGAACATGCTGAACAGCTCCATCGCTCTTCTCGAAAGGCTTTTCATTCCTTACTGCCTGCCAGCTCCTGATCAAAATTCAATAGTACCGCAGCACTTGCCTGCGCTGCATTTCTCTGTGGATCAGTCACTGATGCGTATCTGAGTTCGAAGGAGGAACAGCCACGGCACTGCAAAGGGAACTGAGAGCAACAAGGGTATGAGGCTGTCTTCTGATACCTGACAGTGTTTGGGCTTTCTGTCCTTAACCTCTCTCATGCTGGGCTGCACGTACAGTGCAGAACTGCTATGCAGAAAAGCCTCGGATACTGTGTGGCTATTATTTTCTAGGGAAAAAGACTGAACCCTACAATCCAACAAGGCCAAGTGCAAGGTACTGCACATGGGTCGGGGCAACACCCGCTATCAACACAGGCTAGGGGATGAAGGGATTGAGAGCAGCCCTGCCGGGAAGGACTTGGGGGTACTCGTGGATGAAAAGCTGGACATAAGCCGACAATGTGCACTTGCAGCCCAAAAGGCCAGTAGTATCCTGGGCTCCATCCCCAGCGGTGTGGCCAGTGGATAAGGGAGGCGACTCTGCTCCTCTGCTCCACTCTGCTGAGACCCCACCTGGAGTCCTGCATCCAGCTCTGGCTGCATCCAGCTCTGGAAATGCATGGACCTGTTGGAGTGGATCCAGAGGAGGGCCACAGAAATTATCAAAGGGCTGGAGCACCTCTGCTATGAGGAAAGGCTGAAAGAGTTGGGGCTGTTCAACCTGGAGAAGAGAAGGCTCCGGGGAAACCTTAGAGCAGCCTGCCAGTACTTAAACGGGGCTTATAAGAAAGATGCAGACAAACTTTTTAGTAGGGCCTGTAGTGATAGGACAAGGGGCAATGGTTTTCAACTAAAAGAGTGTAGATTTAGACTGGATATAAGGAAGAAATTTTTACAATGAGGGTGGTGAAACCCTGGCAGAGGTTGCCCAGACAGGTCGTAGATGCCTCATCCCTGGCAACATTCAAGGTCAGGTTGGACGGGACTCTGAGCAACCTGATCTGGTTGAAGATGTCCCTGCTCACTGACAGTGGGTTGGACTAGATAGCCTTTAAATGTCCTTCCAATCATTCTGTGATTGTGCAGTGGCAGGCAGTGATACAAAATCCCCAAAGAGAAGAACCACTAATGATTAAGTCCATCCCTCTTCTCAGGAGACACCGCTGTTCGGCTTTCCGTACCAAAGGGAAGCAATGGAAATGTGCAGCAGCGTGTGTTGTGAGAGCTCAAGGAGCCCAATGCAGAAAGAGGCATTGAGCTGTTTTACAGCCCAGCTGAGAGGAGCGTGGCCTTGAAACAGAAAGAACCAAAAGGCCAGATCTGCAGTCAAACATCCCCAAGATTTAGCACTTCACACCTATTTGTTCAGGGGTTTTTTTGCTGCTGTTCTGCCTGTCAGGCAGCACAGGGTAAAGCAACCCTATGAGAAGCGTGAGTCAGGGCTGCTGAAATGATCTGTTTACAAGTCACAGCTTCCGTATAGACAGATTAATTGAGACACAATGAATGATTCAGTTCTACCTTATATTCTCACCAGTGTCCCGATCCTTCAGATCCCACGCATGCACATATATTCAGACACAGGCACACACACAGTCAACCTCCCTGGTTGCTGATGGTAAACCTGCACCTACATTTATGCAGTATAAATGTCTGCTGCCTAAGGCACGCCAGCCCTGCACTGAGATACCTCCACACGTAACATACGAAGCAACCAGCAAGGACTGGTCAGAAGACTCCCGTATTTCTGTGGTTTCATCAGGATACACCACTGTCATGGCCATAAGCCGTGATTTAGTAATAGGTGAGACCTGGACAGGAGTCTATGGTGGTTTTGTGAGCCGGCTGGGCACTCTCCTCACACAGCTAGTGCCTGGGAAATCACAGGCCAGGGAGCACCTCTGTGCAAGAGCGGCAGATAAACACATTTTGCTGGCTGCTGCATTCAACTGACCCCCTGGATCTGACTCTTCCAGAAGCGCCCTGCTTTGAGGACCTCTCATTGCCCTGACAGCACAGTCCCAGCCACCCCAGGTCCTGCATGTGGGTCTGCAGAGCCAGACCAGCAGGGTTGTCCCCGCTTCACACCACTTGGTACCTTCACAGCACTTTTTAGCAGACTAAAACACCTAAGAAGAGTTCATGACAGCAGAGGAAGCTTTGCAAAGTTCAAGATCCCTTCTCACATCAGTTTAACCCCTCTAGCCCCAAACCTCACCTTTCTGCTAGCCCTCGTTTAGTCAAGCCCGAAATAACGATAGGATCAAAAGGTTCCTCTGTCCCAGAGATGGTTATTCCCAAGGGGCCGCCGTATCGCTTCAGTTCCACTGTGTAGATAATAGCACCAGTTGTCTCCTGCTCATCTGAAAGAGAAAAGAGGAACACTGAATTTTTTAGAGGTCATAGGAAAGACTTGGAGCATTTAGAAGCAAAAGCCTGAGGTCTTCAGCCGTGCTCATACTAAATCACAATTTAACCTTCCAGACTCCATTTAAGGGCAGAATAACAAAAATAGACTATAATCAATTGGAAAGTGGTGACCGGACAGGCAGCAGCCCTTATCTTTGTTGGTTTGCACTACCTATTGGCAAATGTCATTACAGTGGACAGGCAACAGTTTGCATCAGGATTTCTGTACCAGAGTTATCTTCATCCTTCCTAATCTTCAATTTGACCAGGTCCTCACATTGCCTTAAAATTTGCACAGCATCCTCCATTGAGCAATTGTCAAGTCGGATGTTATCAATGGCTAACAGCTTGTCTCCTGGCTCCAAGGTTCCAGTTCTACGTGGAAAGGAAAAGAAAATGAAAAGCACATTTGTATTTGCCTTTCAGATCCCACGATGCATTCAGTCCTGCAGTGGTGATGACAATATTAACTTTTCACTGTCCTTGATCTTCCCAGGGAAACAACCATGAACAGAGTCTGAGACAATTATAACTTAAAGAGAGGAAGTTTGTGTAGAGCATGCATCAACACAGAACAAGGCAGGAAGATTAGATATACAGCCTGGGTAGCCTATAGCCCTGAAAAATGCCTGATGTTTAACTGACAGATATTCCACCTTTTATGGAAACTCCTGTATGAGCACTCATAGAAACGAGCCTTCCGGCAGCACTAAATTCCTCTGAAAGCCTTGCTATGAGGTGTTGGGATCAGAGGTGAAGTCAATAAATGCTGAGTTATTTGCACAGTTCTCCACCAGTGCTCACAATTCACTCACTCTGTTCACCTGAGCAGGAGCTGAGACAGAGCAAACTACCTGATGAGCCATAGCACCTTATGGGATATATGAAGCCCTTTACCACATGCTCTTAAATGCTAAACATCCATCTCCTGTAGAGTCAGCAGACCTCTGAATCAGTGCCCTGGCCACCTTCTCCATTAGCTCAAGTCTACTTGCTTCAGTACAGATGGTTTTTATTGAAAAACGTACTGTGGTCTAAGACAAACCTCTAGAGCTGAGATCTCCTTGGAAGCTGGCAAAATCCAGATCCAAGTGCTATTCTTGGGCTTCATTCTACCTCCCATTACTAGGCCGGACATTTTGCAATGGGTTTGGCAGATGTGAAATTCTGCGCTCACCTATGTGCTACGCTCCCCTTCTTGATGTCGGAGATGATCAAAGGCTCCCCAGGCTTTCTGCTTGCAGCTGCAAAAGAGACACATGGGTACAAAGCTTGGTACTGAGTCTGTTATCCAGAATGGGGACAGTTAATGGGGACAAGGAGTTGTAAGGAAAGGGAATTTACATTCATTTTGGTCTCCTCCTGAAGAAGAGGAGGACATACGGTCTCCAGCAGCAAGAGGTGGGATTGCCCAATCCCAGCGCCATTAAACATAGGTTTAGGTTGTGGAGTCTCCTTCTCTGGAGATATTCAAGACCCGCCTGGACAAGGTCCTGTGCAGCCTGCTGTAGGCGGCCCTGCTTCAGCAGGGGGGTTGGACTAGATGACCCACAGAGGTCCCTTCCAACCCCGACTATTCTGTGATTCTGTGAAACATCTGCTCACCCACATCCCTGACACGAGACAGCAAGGGAGCCAACGGCTATGGCACTAGACAGACAGTAGCACTGCTGCCTAGGGAGTACCTAGCTCAGTGCTGTGGTTAATACAAAGACTTCTGTGTTCTTGAGGTAAAGTGGGCTGGGAAGTTTTCCGTGTGGAAAATAACCCAGGAAGAATTAGATAAAACACTGTTTTCCAGCTGGTTCATCTCCCCAGGCCACTTCATCAAGCAGGTACATCAGGGCTGTCCTCCATGCTGGAGCTGGAAGTTTCCAACTCTTCTCTCCCGCCCAACCCTGATAACTTTTTCAGCCCACGAGAGATCACAGAATCACAGAATAGCAGGGGTTGGAAGGGACCTCTGTGGGTCATCTAGTCCAACCCCCCTGCCGAAGCAGGGTCACCTACAGCAGGCCGCACAGGACCCCGTCCAGGCGGGACTTGAATATCTCCAGAGAAGGAGACTCCACAACCTCCCTGGGCAGATGTGAGTACGCATCTCTGGGAGCATTTGCATTTTCAAATTTACCTGCAAGACCTGTTGCTCTCTTGAGAAACCCAAGTGAGATTTATGACTCGAACCCCTCCCAATCTCTCTGCCGTCCGCACACTGAACATATGCCAAGAGCATCCTTTTCACCCCACGTCACTCCCTCCTGCCTTGCTACGGGAATTGCATCGCCTCATGTAAAGCTGACAGAACTTCTCAGCAAAAACTGCGTGGGAAGGAAGACACTCTCAGCATCTGAACATATCAGGTGCAGGTCAGAGATTAAAATATCTGTGAGGCACGTGGCATCAACCACATAGAGGTCCTCCTGCCTGAATAACAGTTAGAGGGCACCGCAGAAAGTCAGATGTAAAGTAATAAGTGCTTCCTCTTACCAATCTCCCTGCTCTAGCTTTTTCTGTTTACATTCATTTATGAGATTTAAAAACATCTGTGCTAACCCGTCCCCTTTAATAATACCCTCTTCCCAGACATAGCTAAGCCTTCTGTATTGAACAGAGCAAAAAGACAGCCATTCTCAGTCGTAGCAGGGCTGAGTTTAAAAGTTAGGTCAGAAAGCGAAGAGTAGACCGTGACTGATTTTATAATAGTCACAGCAATGCGACTGCTGAATGATACAGAGCCTGGAAGAATTATTTTCCCTGTGCCTTACTAGAGCACGGTGCCAGGCAGTTTTTCTCTGGACGCTCATGTTCAGCTTGTGGCCGCAGGTTGACGAGAAGCAGATGGGTTGTGGAGATTCACTGAGGGCTCATGACCATATTCAACCTGTCCACAGCACGGACCAGCCAGCAGGTAGACTGACACACACTGGGCAGAGCTGAGCAGGGGGAGGGAAGGATGGGGTGCAGCAGCTAAAATCAATTCAGAAATCCCCCCTCTGATTGAGAAGGCCACACACCATGGACTAACAGCACAGGGGACAGAGATGTATTGCCCTGTTATTACTACTGCTGTTCTCTTTTTCAATATAGGAGATGTATTTGCTGCTGAGAGGAGTGTACAATGTGGTGGTCAGAGTGGCAGTGATGGGACACCCTGTTAGTCCACCCTGAGCCCTGGGTCAGGCTGGCATCACTGCATGTTTAATCACTCCCTAACCTGGTTCTGTCAAAATGATCAAGATTAGCAAAAATACTTTTCACTGCAAGGTTTGTTTACTAGTTTCAAAGCAGAAGCAGCATGACAGAAAGGGGTTAGGGAGGATCTCTGCAGTCCTGGTGGTGGGTTAGGGGTAGCCACCTCTAAACCTGACCCAGCCACAGCTGGAATGACACGTTCAGAGACTGTGAACACTCAAAAGAGCAAAGAGGGGGGAAAGGAAAAAAAAAGAAAGCAAGTACAGACAACAAGATGCCTTGAGCTCTATAGAAATGGTGGTCATCTCAGCATCTGCCTTACAAGCCCTGCAACACGTGGGGGGATCCTGCCCATGGTCAGTCTCTGAGCAGAGAGCGAGACTTCGTCCTTCTGCAGCCCTGCAACTGGTGTCAGCACTCAATGCAGCACAGGCTTCCCCCATCAGAAGCAAGGGTGACAAACCAAGTGCTTTGTCAATCAGGAAACAAAGCAAGTTTTGAGTAAAAATCATTCTGGGTTTTGTTAATGTTCTTTTTGGAAGCTGTGCTTTCCAAACAGATTTTCTTGAGATGGGTTAAAGGGAGGAGCCATGTACAACAATCTATAACTGTTCCTACCATCAGAGTACCCAAACTTCAATGAATGGCAGCTCTCAGTTTTAAATAATCATGTAGTAGAAAATGGAAAGGCGTTATAAAACCATTATTATTAGTCAGCACCTACAAATCTGAAGGGTAAGTTAGACTTAATGAACTATCGTTCTCTCTCAAGATGCATAAGATTAAAAGTTTAGATAATGAAATCTCAAATCACAAAACAGTCACTTGCTTTTTGCTTTAAAAAACAGTAGTTACTACCTCCATTAATTCACCTTTGGCACCCCAAAGCCCTTCCCAGCACCCCCAGCAGAGCGCCCAGCTGGGCTTTCCTCCCATCCACTGGGACCAGGCTGCCCTGACCACCCCAGCCACCCCGGGACCCGTGTTTTTAACAGTCCTGGGCTGCCTGTGCAGGGTGACAACGTGCCTCTGCGTAAAGGCTGCCCTGTCTACAGGCGAGAGAGCCGCAGGCTCACTGAAGTGGTGACTCGGTCTAGGTCAGAGGCATTAGATATGTAGATCCCTGGTGGGATTTTGGATAAACCATTTCCAATTTGCCTCCATTTAAAAAAATAAAAAAACAAAACAAACTTAAACTACATTATTATTTTATCAGGGCTGGTGTCTTTGGAGTTAAGACACTTGCACAGATGAATAAAGCTTTTTCAACCATTCATTTCTGCTGTGAATGTGGTTAGTTCCTTTCAAAGGACATTGTCTTGGTAATTTGTTTGCTCCAGCAAGACACAGTTTGGGCGTCCAGCCTTGCCTCTGGGTCTTGCTTTCCCATCTGTAAAATGGAGACGGCAGCAAAGGGAGTCGAGGGAAGAGATGGATCAAGGCACAGAGGCAGAAGCTGGTGTGCAGAAACCTACAGTCTCTCTTGGCAGGCCTCCATCTGTCAGGGCAAACCAGTTCAGGTGGAAGTAGGCTCTTTTTCAAATACATTTGTATTTTTGGCGGGCTTACCAGTAGGAAAGGTAGTTTAAATCTGCTCCAGTGGCCCAGAAAAAGCTCTATAAATCAACAGCTGGTGAAGGTAGAAGTGCAGGGTGGGGGAGAAACTCAAAATGAAAACACTGCTTGGCGGTGGTGACAGGGCAGTGATAAAAAGGTGAATTGATCAATACCGTTATTTACTTTTTATAAATTGCTTTCAGTCTCTCGCCACCCCTGCTGGGATTCTGGCTCGGCATTTACTCTATGATGGATGATGAGGCCAGAAACACATGTCCAGTTTGTGTTTTTAATAGAATGCATAATGACTTGTATTGGTAAATTATTCCCCTCCAAGGAGCACAAGCACATATCTCACACGCATCAACGCTTCAACCCGTTATAAATGCCCTTTGTTATTGACCAAACCAAAGCAGCACTCTACCAGCATGTAATTAAAGAAATTGTAATAATGCCATAAGTATACATTTAAGAAAACAAACATTTATAAAGGCGAAAACCCAAACAAATTCAGAAACCCAATAATCTCGGGATAGCTAAGGAATGAGAAGAGGAATAAAAGCAAACCAGAATAGACTACAAAAAGCAGTAAAGTTGAAAAACCAACTCCCCAGTACCCAACTTTTTCCTCTAGCATTCATTAGTTTTAGCAGCAGGTGCATAAATTATCAGTGCCTCCAGCAGGATATTTACCCCGCTGCAGATCTGTTTCCTTTCAAAACCTCCAGGTAGCAAAACCAGAACAGAATATCCTGCCTTGGGAAAAGGACCAAAGGGAGTCAGCTGAAATCTCAGTTGAAGCTGCGATGTTAGGGCGGGGGGTAGGACAGGAGACAGCGGGCACACTGCTGCTTGCAGGCACGCTCTGCCAGGCTGGTGGCAGGTCCCGGGTTAATCCAGCACCAGCAAAGCTAGATTTGCTCAGCTCACAGATCCATCTTCTTGCTAGGACAGTGATTACACTGCTTAAGCGACGTAATCGAAGTTACTGATCTATCCAAATTCTGGTTTTATCACCTGCTAACAGATACACTTCCTACTCCTTATCTGCAGTATTTCATGCCAAGGGCACAGGAATTGATTTGTTAAGATATATAAAGATAATTTAATAGACATGCTATATAAAGCATTAATGCATATCTAAAACGAATGGTAATTTCAATATCTGTTTAAACAGCAACAACAGCACACCTGTACCCTGCAGTGAATTTCACAACTAGCCCTTGGAGAGAATATTGGAGACAGAGAAAAAAAAAAAAAAAAAAAAAAAAACACAAAAAGCAATCTTTAGTGTAATCAACTATCATTTCCAGAGGCTAATAACAAATCCATATCCTATTTCAAGAGGTCAGGTATTGAACATACAAGAATACACAACTATTAGCTTCTCGTTGTTGGAGATTTTAATTTGTAAGAGATTTACAGAAAACCTACAAAGGCATAACTGTGTCATTAGAACTGAATGCAGCCAGCAAGATCAGACCACTTAAGGCATGTATTCTGCTAATGGAGATGGGTAGTTCAGGCTAACAAGAGCCAAATCTTCACAAAACCTGTGTCAAAAATCTCAGTTTGCAAGTCTTTGCATCCCCACCATTCAGAGCACCTCAGAGGTCTCTGCAAACAGTTGAGCTTCACAGCCCACACAGCTCTCTGAACCACGCAGAGCAGAAAGGAGAGCACGCTTTGCTCTTTTACAAACAAGTGCAGCCTTCACCCTGGGACAGAAACCAAGGCACTGGAGTATGGCGAAAATAAAAGCGATTTTGCTGGTTTCTTCTCCATTAACCCCTGGAAGGAGTGCAAAGAAGCAGCGCACATGAGGCATCTTCGGTGTTTTGCTTTGCTAATTTTTAGTTGGCAAATGTAGGAGAGTGAAACGAAGCTTTAGGGCACAAGGTGCCACAGAAATACACAGCAGAGTCAGTGAGAGACTCATTCTTTGGATTTCCTATTAATCCTTTGGGGAATGGAAGGGGAAATAATGCTATATGCATATATTTGAATCATGCATCTTCATTTGCTACATCGCTTTGCCATGCTGTGTTTGAGCAGGGGGAAGAAACCCATCTGTGTGCACAGACCACAACCGGGGGCTCGCCCAAGCCAGCCTTCTCTTTCCAGAAAACCCTGCAACCTCAGAGAAGATGAAATGTCCTCAAGCAAACATCAGCCCCTCACCAGGAGCAAGCACAAACCTTCTCTGTATGTTCATCCCAGAACCAGCAGCACCTGCCCTCCTCGTACAAAAATCTCCAGGGCTTTCAGCCCTTTTCTGAGGCTTTCCAGCAGATTTATGGTTCTTCCTGCAGCCAGCTCCATTACACGAATTCTTGCAACTCATCCATCAAGAACCTGCTCTCCCCCCCTTTACTTAGCCCATCTCCCGATTAGCTCTGAGAGCCACAGCACAGCAAGAACTTGATCGCTTTTATTTCTGTAGTGCTCCTCTGATGAGGTCGTAACACTTTCTGCCCGCGCAAGAAGGCAGCGGCAAACCTTCCTAGACAGAGGAATTAACTACAGATGAGTCTGCTGGAGCCAAGAGGTAAAGCTCAACGAAAGCAACTCATCTTTCATCTACAGCATAGCTGGACCGCAAAGTTTATGAACAAACCCAATTCTGTGGCCACAACAGTGCAGGGGTCTTCCACTGACGCGTCTGGTTTTTCATCTATTTAGCCTGCCCCACTTTTACAGACTAGGGAACAGGAATCCAATGTGGGAGGCCAGTAAACCAAGTTTCCTACTTTAAAACAGTAGTTACACACTTTTCCTTGTCAGAAGAAAAGCTATAAAAGCTGTTTCTAGATCTATAAAAGCATTCAAATCAGCAGAACTGGGAGGAACTGAGCAAAACAGAGTTATTTTTACCTCTTTCCTCTTGCTGCTTGCATCACACTCCTGCATGCACATCATGTCTCTGCAGGAGGTACTTACCATAAGGCTGCTGCTTTGGTTTTAATGTTTGAAACTGGTATATTTATCTGCCTGGTCAGAGGCAGAGTGACAAAATGATAATCTAATTTGCTAAGGGTCATGGGGACATAGGCTTATATGGACTAATATATGAAAACAGAATTAGGATTCAACTAGCATTTCATCCTTGTCACCGCATTTTCTGGATGGCTGTCTTCTGCTCCATTTGTAAATACAATTCTGGCTTTAACTCAGCAAAGAATGGAAATATATCTTAAATTTATGCATATGCATTACTTAATGTCCTGCAAACATGTTCAACAATTAAAAAGATCAAATCTATTATATTGTTCAAAGTCTGCTTTGTAGTTGGATAAGGCGTATCTAACTATTTAAAACCAAGGGGTCAGTTTTTTTTATTTAGCAGTGATTTAAAAAAAATGTATGAAATAAATTTTTAAAACAAATTTCAGATGAAAACATTTTCAACATAGAAATACGTTTGAAGTGCAAATGCACATCTGAAGCAGATCCCCTTTAAGTGAGACTCCACAAATAAAAACTAGTAGTCTTGCCGGCAACTCCCAGGTTTGCTTTGCTCTCCAGTCCAGATACAAACTAAGCTTTGAAGCTTAAATGGAGTGAAACCTTAGCCATGCTCAAGCCAGCAATTTTTTGGTACCAGATCCATCGTCCCAGGCTGCTATCTGAGATTGCAATGCCAACGTGGCGGGCAGGGCAGCAGGCTGGGAACCTTGTGCAGGCTGGGCTGCTGCCCCATGCCCCGCTCCCCTGCCAGCGACATGTCCTTACGGGTACCCGCTGCTTTCGGAAAGCACTTTGATGTCTTCAGACAGTAATTGCTACCAAGCCAAATGTTAAATACTGTGCTGTTATTTCTCAGGATTATCCCTGTGGCACAAATAGGGGAAGCTGGGAAGAGGGAGAAGAAATAACACAGGGTGCAAAGCCATCACCCTGTCGATGCTGAAGTCGCTCCTGAGAATCACCCCACTTAGACCAGAACACCTCCAATTAACTCACTGACTAACGCTGTAAATGCCAAGAGGTAATTGGAAATAGCTTATCTATTTTAATGAAACCTAGTTTTAAAGTGTCCCTAGCGACTCCATTCCCCAGACACAGCTGGGTCTGCACTCCTGAGGGCTTAGACACAAGATCCTATTACTGCAGTTTCACAGGTTGCTTTGTTTCAGCTGAGAGGTGGTGGCAGCCTCTGGGCATGGCAAATCGGAGATGATTCATCTCAGTTTACCCAGCAGTGAAAGAGGGATGAGTGACATGAGACCTGCTCACATTTGCCATAAAAAGCCACTGATGCAAGGCATGACAAGACCTGAAGTTAGCCAGAAATTTGGGATGGATCTGCTTATATCATCCCCTTACAGCATCGTCTCCAAAGAGGCCAAAAGGTCTTTAATTGAAAAACAGGCTTCAGAAGAGAAACAAAGATAATTAATCAAGACTGAGCAGAGAAGAGAGAAAAGAAAGAAAAAAGTTTATGTCTCATTCTCTCAATGCCCACCAAGTCATGGATCTCCTCTTCCATGGCTGGGGTTAGTCAACACAAGGACTCACAGCAAACCCTGCCCAGCACCCTCCTGTCCCTAAAGTGCCTTCCTCCCACCTTCAAGGCCAGCCACCCTCTTCATCATCCTCCTCCTCTCAGCATTTCCCCTCTCTACTACCCAGCCTTCAAGCTGTGAGTTTACCTCACACTTGCTCACCTTCCCTCTACAGGTCCCACCAGACCCGGGCAATTCTTTTGTAAAAGGAACACAATACAACTATGAGCAATGAAATAAAAATAATATTACTAATAATATAATATTAGTCTGCGGCGCAGACCAACTGATCAGTTGAGACGCATCCTTTGCCCGAATGCTTCATGCAGCTGCTTTTCTCTGCGGCCGCCAGCTCGTGGAGGCAGGAACCACACATCTAATTCAGCCTGGGGTAAATCACAAGCACTGCAAGCGCTACCAGGAAACCCCACATAATCTTATCTCTCTCCCCTGGGCCCCTCTGATGTGCCAGGGTGGAAAGCAGCAGCTCTCACAACTGCTAGTGCAAATCTGAGCAATACTTACAGCTGATTGTAATTCCAAGTTCTACACCCCTTTTCTTGGGCAATTTAACGTGGAAAGTACCACTGCTGGGTATGACAGACTCTATAAAACCAAAAACAGACAAAAAAGAAAACAGCAGAAAAAAGACAGTTTTCAGTTGCATGGATGGTTTCTTTGGAACCAAAGAAAATAAGCCCATAAAACTCAGCTTTATTGGTTCAAATAAGGTTGTTATTCGAGGCCCTGCAGACTTCAAGTTAAAATTTGGATTCTCATTAAAAATACATGCTCTGAACGTGAAGTGCTCACATCATGCTGTATTTCAAGATTGAGGCAGCTCCATGAATGTAAAAGGAAAGAAACTTTTTTTTTTTTTTAAATACAAAGCTACTCAGCCAATAGCTTTGTCTCCCTCCTTGCTTCAAGGCCACACATTAATATAAATATTATTCATATTAATGGGCAAATATTTAAATTGCAGGTGGCCTTCATCTAGCCCTTAGGCTTCTCTCAACCAAGTGGTGAGAACAAGGCATTTATGAAAGGATGAGAAAAAGGACCCTTCACCTTGATGCATATTAGAGAACAACAAGAAATGAAAAAGGTCCTCACAGGGTCCTCTCACTCTTCCCTCTAAGCTCTACCAAAAATCTCACGTATTTGTGTGAATACACTCCCTCCTACAGGTTAGCAAAGGCACTGGCAGAGTCCGTCTGCTAGCAAGGGACAGCAATTCCGTTGGCAACGTACCTGCGACATCAAATTCAATCTCGAGCACCACTTTGTTCGTGAGCGCGGCATCACGCAAAAGCTGATTGGCTTCCTCCATAGTCCCGTCCTCAGTCGCAATGCCGTTGATAGAAAGGACTCTGTCTCCTACTTGTAGCAGCCCACACCTGCTTTCCACATTGGGAAAAGAGGGAAAGGGGACAAGGAGGCAGGGAAAAAGAGGAAAGGAGGGAAAAAGAGGAAAGGAGGAAAAAAGAACCCCACAGCCAGCCATAAGTTACTTTTGCCAGGCAAATCTGTAACAAGACACACCAAGTAGTGACAAATCCTGCAGAAGTGGCCCCAAAGACAAGATAACTCATTCTGCAATGCCTGTCCCAGTGCTGAGAGCCCCTGGAAGGCCACAAGGCAGCAAACCTTTGTGGTTTGCTTAAGTTCAGACATACTTTGTTCCTAAATAAGCATTTTTGGTCAAATTTCCTGCAAATTCCAGGAAAAAAAGAAAAGTAACCATCGTGTCTAAAAGTCAACCTAAAAGTCAACACCATGGCCAAGAAATGAGAGTGATAAATGCAAGGGCTTGTGCCCTCCTACCCTATCTAACAGTATGCAGCTCTTTCTGTGTGCCTGCACCCTCTGAAACCCATACGAATGGCACTGAAAATTGCATGGATTCCTCTGCTTAATACATGGCTAGTATTGAGGCTACAATCCAATGAACTCACTGAAATGTCTCAGCAAATTGGATAATCATTTATCCCTTGTAATTGCATTTCTGGAAGCCAAGTGCACATTGATACTGTTTAACTGCCTTGAAAGGTCAATATTATTCCAATGCAATATCCTGCCAATATAACCACAACTGGCATTTTGGGGTTTTTGGTTTAGACCTGCTTTCTCCAAGAGCACAGATAAGCAGATTTTTTACTTTGGGAGAAAAATAATGATGGCAAGGCTATGTTGGAGATATACTGCTACAGCATGGTTTGTCTCTTGGGATCCCTCTGTATTTATAAGCAAGTTTTTTTCACACAGAAACCACTACATTCAATATCCAGCCTCCGTCCCCCTGCCCTGCTTTTTTTTTAGCGTACTGTAACACCGCCAAGACAATCTTCCATGTTACTGAGCTAGCCTGTGCTTCTACAAAAATCAAGAGTGTAGTGTTCCCCACGACTGGCCACAGGCAACAGGTTCCTTGTCTTCCTTCTCCTCCACACCCTGCATCAGTTGTTCACTATAACCATATCTTTTCAGATTTTCTGCTCACCACCCATCTCTAAAGTTGTCCATTTGAGCAGAGCTTGAGAAACCATTCCTCATACATCATTAATGTAAGCTGCAGAGCGGTCTCCAAAACAGGTTGAGGGTTATGGGAACAAGTCTAAGGTTCACCTCTACATTTGGAGTTATTGTACCACAAAGATTTCCCAGAAGGCATCAGCTGCCCTGTTTTGAGCCCTCTCCAGAGGATCTTTATTCCCCTGCTGTTTAATGATTAAGCACATCCTTTGCCCTCTCATTTCTAGATACCAGCTTCCACTGATATTTCACAGAATACAGCTTGGTTTTTTACTAACCCTATCACCCACCCTTCATCACTCACAGCAGATCCAGTTGCAAGAAAACATGGTACTGCAGCTTTTGGGCACGCAAAAGTAACGTCAAAGGCAATGGACACCAGCTGTATTATTCACCTCCAAACAACAGACGTATATGAAAGGCCAGGTTGTCAAGAAAAAATACACATGTCCAAATTCAAGAGAACTGCACAAACAGTTTTTGCCGGTGGCCCATCAAAAGCTGAGATATGAGCAAGTTTGGAGAGAGCCTAGAGAGGTTATTTTACTGGTAGGAGTGTATTAAACTTGCAGTATATTTACGCTGCTTCCCGAGTTCATGCTGTCCATGGACAAACGCTGGCTATTTTATGAGATGTAAATTCAGAATTGTTTGTTCAAGGAGACTTGGATTAGGACAGACAACTCCATAGTGTATAAATGAATCTGTCCTTGTGAATAAATTACATCAAGTTTAATTACAGTCTTTTACTAGACTTGTGCCTGTGCAGCCACATAGATGCACTTGGAAATACCAACTTATAAATATGAAGATGGCAAGGAGTACAACAGAGATGCCTCCTCCAGCACTGAGAGCTCTCCTGCTATGGCCACACTGCACCTTTCGGAAAAGGAGGGATCAACGTCTGCATCACACAGACATCACTGTCATTTCAAGGTCACACAAGGACACAATCTATTTTGGCACCAGTGGTTCAGCCGCAAGGGCTGGAAGATCACAGGATACTTTTACACAGCATCAAAGCAAACATTAGCCACCTTTCCCACTGGAGCTACCTCCTCACAAAACAACCATTTCTCGTGTTTCTTCTCACAGGGTAGATTTCACTGGCTGTTTTACAGCCAATAGCTCTGTTAGGTCAGAAGTATTTTATTTCTTTTACTATTAGCCTCAGTCAATCACGGTTGTTTAAGCCCCGGTCTTGCAGGTTTATAAAAGTTTGTGGAGTGAAGCTGCAACCTTCTGGCTCCCTCCACAAGTGCAAGGAGACCCGACATGCCTTGCTAACACTTCAGAATAATTTCAGAGAAACTAGTGTCCAAATGGCATGTGCCCTTGCATTGGGAGCAGGGTCCTGGAAGCCAAGGCTCCTGCAGACCTCTCCTTGGCACTGCTGTGGGATCCTACACAAATCTTTTGGATGGCTTTCCCAAAGAGAGGGCGTTTGTCTCACAGATGTGCAGTCTAACATCAGAGCTTACAAAGTGCTTTGAGATCATGGGAGGATAAGTGCTTTAAAATCAGAAAGAACAAGAGTACAGGCATCTCCTGGAGTGAAAGACAGCCCTATGGACTTGTTAGAGTCCACGATGAGAATGTCTCCCTGGGGCTGCAGAGATTTGCATTTTGTCGTGACTCATTCCTCCGGCTCAAAGACAGCCAAGGAGCAGTGGAGGTGTCTTGCTAGACACAGAGCAGCGCATATTCAAGCCTTGGGCAGGGTATGCACTGAAGATCTCACTCAGCATCATCAGCATCTGCTCGGTCACTCCAGCTGTGGGGTGAGCAGCAGCAGCTGTGACCACAGCTAGCTGCAGAAACCGATCCGTCATGCCCTCGCACGCCCCCGAGTTGGCCTGCACAGGTCAGACGTGCACATCTGTGTATATCTGTACATCCCTGTCTCCACATTGGTGGGCAGGTCCCAGCCCCCAAAAGATCAAAGCTTCACTGACAGCTTCACCCAGCTGCTAAACTTTTCTCTTACAAACTATTCAAACTTAAAAGCCAGAAACACAATGATCAAACAACTGTGTCTGAGTTCCTGGAATGGAAAAGCCAGATACTCTCCCACTGCTGTCAATGACAGCTGGGGGAGGAAGGACACAAAAGCTGCATGTTTCAAGGCAGCCAAGAGGGGACGTCAGCCATTTTCCTATTCCACCCTCCCTGCTGATAACAGGGGCTGAATCACTGTCTCCGTTTGAGCCCAAGGGCTTCATCTTGCACCCAGGAAACAAAACAACAGGTGGGGAGGGAGGTCTATTAGAGGCTATTGGCTGTAAAACAAATCACAAGTCAGCGAGGTGAGAGCTTTTGCTTCAAACCGCCTGCCACGAGCTAGCATGAAGCAGATAATAAAAGGGAGGCAGTCCAACCTCCCTGAAAAGAGAGCGGTACTGTCCTCCTCCTGGCAGCACTCAAATTTGCTAAACTCCCAAGAGGCAGCTCCTCCGCGACAAGCCAGATGGCAAAGCGATTGTGGATCATGCCCTTGTGCAACAGCACATTCAGATTCACAGGTCTTGCACAGGAGTATGTGATCACGCAGGACAGGCCCAGGCTGCTGAGCCTGATCCCTGTAGCCCCACCGCTCACCCTCTTTTGCAGAGAGCAACAACTGCAGCACGAGAAAGAGCATAGCCCAGTCTCAGCCGAGAGCCCAGCTTGGTAGAGGGGGAAAAAATGGCTCTAATGTCTTGGGCTGCAGTTACAGCAGAACCTCTTAAGGGCAGGGAATAAGATGTCTAGGAAAGACGGAGCAAACAAGCTTTGTGGGATAGCAAGAAACAAAAAGTGAACTGAAAACATAAAACTGTTTTTTCAACCCACTGCAAACCCAGTGCACTTATCACTTCAAGATGGGGAGGAAAAACAGTGTTTTCCTGCCAGCTAGGAAGAGCAGCACTGTCTAGGAAACGAAGAAATACGCAGCAGAGCTTTAATCCCCAAATCAAATCCAGGCTGCAAACGCAGAGAAGATTTCTCCCTGTCGCCAGAAAGCAGCAACCAGGAGAGCGCAAATCCTGCTGGGTGGGCAGCTGAGAGGGAGAGCAGTGTGTGCGACACATTAGAGCCAAGGAAGACTGCACCGCGAGTCTTTGCTTTCGCTCCAGGCTTGGCAAGAGGATAAAGCAAGCCAGGCGGATTTCAGCACATCCTCCTCGTCCCGTGGGACAGCAGGCTTTGTTGTTGCCTGATTTATAAAGTGAGTTTGGTGCTTTGCAATGTGAGCCAAATTCACCCTGGTAATAGAGGATAAAAAACCAAATCACCATCACTTCCCTTTTTAAACCTTGTTGGGAAACAAACAAAATGCATAAAAGGCTTTTGAAACCTTTCTTAACCTGTATCACTCAGGACAACTCTTTCTCCTGTGCCAGCCCCTTGTCCCTGTCCTTCCACAGACCCAAGCACCAGGCACTCCTGCTCCTCCCTGCCCCTGCATCGGCCACCTGAAGAAGCTACCACTCCGAGACCACTCTGCACGGCAAGGACTTGCTTCTCCTTTTGCAGGTGCTTTCCCTGACACACGACTCCCCCATGTGCTGTTTTCCCTGGCTGGCCTGGGGACACCCAATCCATCAGCACATGAAGATGAGGCCCTTGGAGACTTCTGCTCCCAAGGAAGGGTCAGCAGCAGGCGCTGAGCACTGCCATGTCGTTGCACCTCAGACACCCCTAGGCAGGACAGACCACCAGTGGAAACCACAGGTGGGAAGAGAAACCAGCACAGGGGCATAAGTGCCAGCTCGCTCACTCCTCACTATTTCATCTGCCTAACAAAACCAGCTCTCCTTTCCACCCCGCAAGAGCTCAAGCCATGCTGGGACCTGATCTGTAAGAAAAGCCTTGCTGGAGGGCATCTACATGGTAGTGCACAGACACTCGAGCAGACTTTAAATCCAGCCAGCAAGGGTATTGGAAAAAGTTTAGCCAGAGCTCCTGAGCCGAGGCTTGGTCACTGGAGGAGACATTGCTCCCAGTATCCCCGGGGTGGCACACAGCAGATAACACTGCTCCTCCATTCTGCTCTTTTCCTAGCATTACAGAGCCAAAAGCAAGAGTGCTTAAGTGCAGCACCTTACCTGCTCCTCAACCAGAGCCCTCCTCTGCAGCGCAAAACCTTGGCTTTAAGGCCAATTTATGTAGCTGGGCTCTGCTACAATGAAACCAGGCAGAAAACACACTGCTGAGCCCGCTTGTTTAGATCTTTCCCCTTTCTGCACCCAGATAAAAGCTTTATCTTTCAAACATAAAGAAAAAAAAAAGGAACGGGAATGGCTCTCTCACACAGACACACGCTCCCTTCCTCCTCCTCCTCCCAGAACAGCTGCAGCCTGGTGCCAAGACGTTCACCTGGGATGCGAGGGAGGCCACGGTCAGCCGACGAGTGCAGAAATGGCAGTGACAGTAAACCATGCCCAGTGAAGAATGGGAGATATTACAAGGATGATAGTAAATATCTAAATGAGCCTCTGAGGAGAGAAAACAAACCAAACCATGAAATGTTCAGCAGCAGCACCATCAGCATCCAAGGGCAAGGTCTCTAACCTCTCTGCCGGGCTGTCAGGCTCAATAAAACGGACGAGAGGTGGGGAAGACAGGGTTTCAGTAGCAAAGATGCCTCCCTGGAGCTGAAGTCCGAAGCCATTCAAAGGGTCTCCCCTGAGCACGACCTCTGTTGTCTCCGTGTGGACTATCTGCCCGCCAGGACCCACTGTGCTGGAGGCCAGGGACACTGAGAGGAGGAGAGAGGCAGAAGATCAGGGAAGTCACAGTCAACATAGCAGGTCTGGTCACAGACCTCGGTCTGGCAGTGGTGGGGACAGTGATCAACGATGAGCGAGGCACTGACAGTGCCGAGATGAGTGGTCCTACCCCAGTTAGCAGTCAACAATAAGGACAATAAGGACAGCAAGGCAAGCATGCACACCCCATCTATCCCAGCCCACCATCACTCTTACGTGAGCTCTTGTGCTCCTTCTTCTTCTGCCTCCTCCTCAGCATGGTGGTGCGGGGGCTCATGGGGTGGGTGCTGCGAGGTAGCGTGTTCGAGTTCTGGCAGGGGAAGCCCTGCACGTTCATGGTGGGAGAAGAGAAGTTGGCAGCCACCAGAGCTGGGGAAATACAGAGTGGGTTAAGGATGTGCACAGAGAAGTGCAGCAGCAAGTTCATCTAATGGGTGTTCATCAAACACCTAGTGCGTTTGGACTAGCTCCTTTTTCCCAGCTCCAGGGCTCAAGATTGAGGTCAGAACCTTGTCCTGGGTTTGCAGCTCCAGGAGAGCCATGAGAGTGGGCTTGGGCTCCAGCTGGACATTGCTGTCTGGTGTGCAGCGAGTCCAGTGACTGGGCTGTCACAGCAGCACCCAGGCCACCAGATGAGAAGTGCATCATGTATGCAAGGCAGCTAACAGCAAGTTGGCACAATGGCACTAGTGAACCTTAAATACATAGAAAGAGAAACCACAGCTTGAATTTGAGCTGCTGGGCAACTGGGCTACCCTGTTTGCTTCCCAACACGCAGTGTAACATTTCATCCCTATCCTACTGTCAGAAGACAAGAAACCTGGGGCTGAACAGAGCCTGCTTCCTGCAAGAGGTGGGCTTACAGACAGATTTTGAAGCAGCCGTAATCCTGCTGCTAACACGTTGTGTGTCATTAGGGCTGAGCTGGATGCGTTGATGTTGATGTTCCTACATGCTACCAGAGCTACCCTCCTTGTCCCACATCAACTCGTCTGTGCCCTTGCCCATATGAAACCGGGTACTGGGGTGTGGGGTTAGAGGGTGGGAGCACGGGTCTGCCCAGCACAGCACTCTCACTGCAGTTACAAGATCTGCACATGCTCTGCTTCAGATACTGATTTTGCACCTCAGCACTGGACCTGTGAAAACAGCCCCAGGTGACCAAGGAGGCAATGAGTGACACTTGTGGCTGTGGAGTTGGGTATCACGGAAATGGAGGGGCACAATATGAACAAACACGCGCAGGGATGGGGGAAACAACCGTGTGCTGGGGTTACATTTGCAGTAATCCTGTCCAGATGTCTGGTTCCACGTGGGCGTCTTGCAGTGCCCGGGGTGGTGGGTGTGACAGTAGTTGACACAGGGGTCCCAGCAGTGGTGGTGGTCACTCTTCTGCACCTTGACTGATGGCACCCAGGGGAGCAGAAATCACCACAGGCATGGAGGATAAGTGAGAGAAAGAAAAGGTAAGGAGCATAAGCCAGCAGATTGTAGAAAAGAGCCTCATACTGGCTGTGACCAAGTCAGAACCCAGCCACAATGTGTCAAGCTCCAGCAGCAAAAACGCATCCCCATGTAACCTCATGACACTTCATGCAAAGTGGCAGATATCCACCCCCTTCCCATAAAAATCTCCATATCCTGAGCCACTGGCCTGACTAAGCCATGCTGGCAGCACACAGATGTCATTACCATTTGCAGTTGGTTGTGTGACGTGCAGAAGCTCCCTCCAGACATAAGTTTCCTGCAGAGGCCATCAGCATTACCTGACAGCACCGGGGAAACCTGCTTGTGCTGTTTCCCACCTTACTGCCAGAGCTGCCCTCCCAGGGACAAGGCACAACACCTTCCACACATGCCAAGGACTGCTTTGAGCACTTTGCTTGGCTTCAGCGTGTGGTTGTTTAGCAGCTGCTCTTGGCTGGGAATCCATCACAGGTGAACATATGGAACAAAGAGAGGAGTAGCACAGGGCTTCATTCAGCTCACCAGGAGAAAAGGAATTTTATACGCCACTGCTTAAAGGCAATTACAGAGGGCCACCAACACAGGAAGAGATGCCAATGCTGTGGCAAACTGTAAATTAAAACATGGCACCAACATGGCAGATTCTATTCAAGGGCACATAACTGCTTTAGCTTCAACCCCAACCCCAGCCCAGCATGTTCGCAGAAATCTGTTGCAGCATGACATCCATCATCTGGAAATCCTTTGTCCCAAGAACTGTGGGTTTGCAACATCAGGTCCTGATGCCTCAAGTCTCCTCTGAAGTGCCTCAAACACGTCCCCAGCCACAGATCCCTTGTCTGTTCTCACTGATGCTCCTTTTGCCCCTAGGTAGCACAGGGTCAATTTAGTTTTGCTTGCCCAACAGCACTGGGGTTTCTCTCTCGAATCTCTGCACCATGCTGTCTACATTTATCTTCTTCTGAGAGGAATTGCTGGCTAACAAACAAGACTGCAAGCATCTCTTTTATTCAGCTAAGCATGAATGGCATCCCACAGCGGAGCATCACTGTAGCCACGAGTTATCCCAGATCTCTTAACCTCACAACCACTTGCACTGACTGGCAACCGCCTTTCCAGGATGAGATCTCCTCCAGGCTCTGTGTCCTCCAAGAAGGCAGAAACACTGCCAGCACTGGTACTACCAGAGCTTTCTGAGGATGCAAACCTGGCACAGGGACTCTGTTTATTTAGTGAGTCCACCCAGAGATCTCATCTAAAGGTCATCTGTTATTGCCTTTAACAGCAGAAATCCATTTTGTGTGCATGCTTCACAGGCATCAAATCATTTAGGTCAGGTTTTCCAACCAATATAGCAATTATATTTAATCTTTGCTAAACATTGAGTGAGTTTAGCACTTCATCTATCAAGCTCTTAAAAAATACAGTAAAAAACAATACACTGGGGTTTCTATTTTGTGGATTCAAAAGTAAATTCAGAGCCAAGCAGCTTTTAACAACAAAAATCAAAATAATAAATGTAGCTGTATCTAGACAAAAAGGAAAGTTCTTAATAAAATTAAACACTTTGAACATGAGGGGCAGAGCTTATGGGCATATATACAAAATCATTTAATCCATTTACAGTAATTAAAACTCTCCCATTTGTCTATAAATTCTTAGCTCCTATCTGACAACAGCAAAAAGTGCCTTTGAAACTCTGCTGTCAGTGCACTGGGGAAGAGATTTTGGACAATTCTATAATAAAAATGTACAACAGCCTTCCCCAAGCTTTCACACATCATCCCTGCCTGAGGAAACCCATCCATCCCAGTACTGCTTCTGGGCTCCATCCGCTCCCGTTGATCTTGTGAGCTGGGCATAATCCTCCCACAAGCTCTCCAAAAGCCCCCAGAGTCACGGAGAAGCAAACTCAGTTTGACAAATCCTGTGCTTCAGCATTAGACCATATTTTATGTGGCAGCTGTGGCTGCAGATCCCTTTCCACTTCCTCAATAACTGGATTCTGATTGCATGAGAAGCCACGTTTAAAAAATATAATGACAAGCCCCATGCAGGCACACGCTAGAAGGACCCAGTAATGCAAGTGCTGAGCAGGGACGTGCCTGCAGAGTCTCTTCTCCTCGGCTGCTTTCCCCAGTCTTCGCTTTCCTGCCAACCACGACAGTTTGCTTTTGCATGGCCCATTTTTCCTTACTGTGCCTGTTTGTTTCCCCAAACACAGAAAAATCAGCCTGTGGAGTTGGCACTCGGCATCTGGAGCAGAAGGCAGCGTCTCTCCCAGGTTCAAACGCAGTTGGTCAACTGCAGTGCGTTTCCTCAGCTACTCACCATGGGCTGCATGGTGCTGTGGCTGGTTACACCACTGAGGAGCACTGCTTTGTGAGCTGCTCCTTTCACCCAAAGTGCTCCCCTTCCTATCCCCACCACCTCCCTTTCCCATCTCCGTCAGCACTGGTGATGGTCCAAGCCCAAGCACTGGTCTCCAACCACACACCTCCGCCTCCTAATAGCCATACGGATGAACAGCATCCTTCCCTATAATCCCCCATGTGTTAAAGAGTTTAATCAAAAGCTGGAACAATTGTTATGTCCCTTATTTTTCATATTCATTTGTTGCAATTATTCTCCCAAGTTTGTGTTCTGTATTTCTGCCACAGCAAATTGATCTGATGTATGGAGGTTTGGCTAAAAAGGTGCTGAGCACACTGAGCTGTCCTTCCTCAGATCCCCCTTCTCAGCTGCTGCTAAATGCATATATTCTGTGGAGTCTCCTTCTCTGGAGATATTCAAGACCCGCCTGGACAAGATCCTGTGCAGCCTACTACTGTAGGTGACCCTGCTTCGGCAGGGGGGTTGGACTAGATGACCCACAGAGGTCCCTTCCAACCCCTACTATTCTGTGATTCTGTGATTCTGAAAGAAGATTAGGACTGGAGCACTAATGGAAGGAGGAGAACAGTTCATTTTAACAGCCATTGAAAAAGGATTATAGCTTTCCATTTTTTCTTTGGCACAAAGGTCAAGTCATCCATCCTCTTTGTTAAACTGCTTTAATTCTGCACAAATTGAACTGGACATGTAAGAGATTTATTTCTAGACATGGAGATGTTATTAGATTTTATGTTTCTCTGCATCACGTTAAAGAAGACAACACAGATATTTTCCTCCTTTCGCCAAACCACCCTAGAAGAATGGAAAGAAGAGCTGTGCCCAGGGCTACTGTGCACCAATACTATTAAAATGCATGTCCCTGAGAGACAGGTGATTGAAAATGGTTGCAGAAGGGGCTGGTACTGAAGAGTCGTGCCTGAAACACCTGAATTACAAGACCACCGACAAAACTGTAGGCAGGAGTTGCAACAAATCTACTAGTACTAAGGGTCTGTTCACAATGTAGTTTATATGAGAGCCTGAGTCAGCCTTTCACGTGGAAAGAGAAACTAAAGGTGAGCAATAAGGATGCTCACCAGGGTGAATTCCTAATTATGTTTACAGGCATTTGGGGCTTGATTTCACTGGAGCCAGAATTTTTTTTCCCCACTATTTCTTTGGTGGGGGTGGTGGAAAGCAGTAGCTATGGATGCATTCACTCTACCCCTGGCTGCTCAGACACAGCTGCTGTTCAAACAGGCTGGTCTGGAAGATGAACACTTATGTTACAGCTTTGTTTCCTAAGGAAGTCCAGCAGCACCTTGCCTAGCTACTGACATGTCCTTTACAAAGCCTTACCAGGCATCAGCAAATGAAAACTGAGCTTGGAAATACATTTGCCAGCACCAAGGTTGTTCTCCTCCCTCTCCATTAAAGTCTCTTATCTGAGGTACTAAAGAAGCAGCTTGCAAAGCACTCAGCACTGCAAAACCCTGGGATTCCCAACTCCAGTGTCCCCATTCAAGCACAGATGTTACCTTTTTTCCCATTCACATCCTTGAAGAACATTATCTAATCACATGCATTTCATCAAAATGTCTTTTTTTTTTTCCCTTCCCCCCTCCACAGATGTCTCTGGAGTCTGTTGCCAGCATTCAAAAGCAGCAGGAACCCCAGTAGAGACCTCAAGTGAATTTTGAGGGCGACCAACAGTGTTTGCACAGAGGACAGACCTGTTTCTGGAGGCTTCAAAGGCAGCCTGCTTTGATGAACAGGTAATATCTCTAGTTTGACGTTTTCTGAAGTGGCAGCTAAAAGCTGAGTTGCCTCTAATAAGGAGCAGTGCTCTGTGCTCGTGCCATCAATGGAGAGAATATGGTCACCAACATGCAATGCGCCACATCTGCAAAGGAAACAGCAAGAGAGGTAATTATGCACATGGCCAAAATCTATGTCCTTACAGTTGGGAGCAGACACATACACAATCCAACTTTGAATTATTACATGAATTGTTTTTCATATATCATTTTTTTACTTCCGATTTGAACCTTAGGTTCAAGTGTTGCCCAAAATACCAGCTAAGATGGTTCATGCTTGAGTCAGTGCTGCTGGTGGCTTGGGAAAGATCTTTTCAGTTTTTAATACTGCCCACTCATAGCTAGTGTGGATGGCTGAGGGCCCACCCAGCCGTGTAGTTAAGTCCTACGAGCCAGCAGTTCAGCTCAGCGACATGACTAACCGCAGCCAGGGCTGCGTAACAGTCTGTCTTTCTGCGTCCCCATGTAGATGGCGACTAGCTGACTTACCCATCAGGAAAAGGCTCTACCCAGAAGTTTCCAGAATAGGTTTTAGCCATTCCACAGCTCCAGGGCAGCCGGATCTAAGATTCTTAAAACAGAGCTCAGCTTTCGCATGGACTGAGTTACATTCATTCCTGGTGAGGAGTGTCCACTGGTGTTGGGTCAGATATTTTTAGCACACTTAGTGCTAAGAACATGTGGGCATGGCCATTTCAAGACAAAGCAGGAAGGAACGGTATATAACTAACAAGGGGACAAAAAAGCAGCAGAGCAAGGAAAAGCAGAGCTAGGAGCAGCCTGTTCAGGTCTGTACCTGTCCACCACGCTGGCCGGCTTGATCTTATCGATGACAATAACCTGCTTGTTCCGGTGCGTGCTTGTCATCAGTGTGATTCCTAGCGTAGACCCCGGAGACTTTGCTATTTCAACTAGTAAAGGACCGGAAGCATTTGCTACAGTATCTGCAAAACAAGAGAGAATCTGAAGACACTTCTCATACAGCCTTTTCCATTTCTAAATACAGGGGGTTGGCCAGTAGTGCTGACTTGCCATGTGTATCAGCAAACCTGTAGTTTGGACATCCCACAGTCTGTATCACGTGGTAACTTAACAAAGAAGTAAACTCAAGAAGCAAAATTACTTCTGCACAAAATACGTGTGATGATGAAGTGAAGAGATATTATGACAATTCACTTGGAAACAACTCCCCTGCCTCTTTTCTTGGGGTTACATAGCAAGATTGATGAAGAGACTGCTCAAAGGCTGTGCAGCAGTCACATCAACAGTACTAAAAGCACAAAAAAGGAAGATCAGAAGGACATCACTGTTCCAGGCTTCTTCCCAAACAAACAAAAAGGCACAAGGAAACAGGATCCCACTTTCTGAAGTACTTGGAAGTCTTGTGCACTGATGACCAGCACACAAGTCAGTCAAATCCTGTGTGCTTCAGCACCAGCTTCAGAATATTGCCAGTGGAAGCAGAGATACAGCGCTGCCTACCTGCATGCTTACAAAAGCCTCCTCTCTCCCATCAGACAATACAGGGGTAACTCATGATTAAAAGATGCATTTCTGCAATAAGCTTCATAGATGTTGTAAGTGAGACTACGAAACTCCTACGAAATTGCACCTGCTAGCATAAGCCTGCACCATCCCCATTCATCTCTTCTGAAGAAGGGGGAGGAAAAAAATGCCTGTGTCTCTGGCTGATTAGACAGAAATTCCCTCCACCTCTATTACACCCATTTGCTTCCAGATTACCTAAAGCCATCATAAAGAGGCTGGACTCACAAACGTGTTATCACCACCAGACATCCCACAACCAGCACCCCATGTGTAGTTTGACACCCCCCACCCCCCCAAGCACTCTGTGGAAACCCAGCCATCCACTTCAAAGGAAAGGCCATCTGAGAGCTTGATGCCTCCTCAGCCCTTAATTATTTATAGCAAGGCTTTTCTCTTCCAAAGGTATGCTCCGTTAAAAATGCTGATGCTACTTGGCTCCAGAATTTGATGCATGGCTCATTCTTGCTCTCTAATAAACAGAAGCATTAATGCAGCTCTCAGAAGCTAAGCCTCAGCGAGGTCTTTCCCGAGATTTGTTGAAGATGCTGAGTCTCCGGAGACAGAAATTTCCCTTGGAAGTTTCCCCTGGGGATCAGCCAGAGAGGTCTGGGCTCTGGTCTACTCGCAGTGCCCTTTTTCCTGGGGGAGGAAGGAGCCCTGTTAAAGCTTATGCAAGGCTTCAAATAAAACACTGCTTATTCTCTGTTGAAAAGGACCACTGGGGAGACCTGCAAGCTCTGGCAAAAAGCACAGCCCCAGTCCAATCAAAAGACACACAAAGCACCCAGCTAAAGCCTGCAGAAGGTGCCCTTAAGCCTTCGATAGCAAAGGAAGCACCAAGAGACTGAGAATTTCTTCCAACAGCTAACACCAGCCCTGTGTTGTTTTTGCAGCCCGCGCGTGTCCAACACACATCCTCAGACACAGACACAGAGCTGCATTCCTCCAGCTGAAGGGAAGGAGATAGGAAAAAAAATGATGAAAAAAGCTTGCTGGAGTGGTAGAGCTTTCTTTGCAAGTAAAATACCTGCTCCTCTCAGTTTTACTCAGCATCCAAGCTTCTTGGCTTTGCCAAGTGTTTCCCAGGGAGGTCTCAGCACAATGGTGAGAAGCGAGAGCTTTGGGTATGTACCTTCTCCCATGCCAGGACCCAGGTTACCAATAAGACTGTAGGAAAGCCCTCGTAGGGCTACGAGGATGGTGAGGGGACTGGAACATCTCTCCTACGAGGAGAGGCTGAGGGAGCTGGGCTTGTTCAGCCTGAAGAAGAGAAGGCTGCGAGGGGACCTAATATAAGCTTACAAATATCTGAAGTGTGGGTGTCAGGAGGATGGGGCCAAACTCTTTTCAGTAGTGCCCAGCGACAGGACAAGGGGCAACGGGCACAAACTGAAGCACAGGAAGTTCCAGCCTGAACATGAGGAAGAATTTCTTCCCTCTGAGGGTGACGGAGCCCTGGAACAGGCTGCCCAGGGAGGTGGTGGAATCTCCTTCTCTGGAGATATTCAAGACCCGCCTGGCCAGGGGCCTGTGCCGACTGCTG